ACAAAAAAATACGATTAGCGTTCTTTTTTCTCTTTTTAACAGCTCAGGTTCCATTGCCACTTTTCAGAAGAACATATAATTAACTCCGCCCACTTACCCCGCCTTCAATTTATTAATTCATTGTGTGTGGTCTGAATGAAAGATTGATCCTATACTACTTGGGCAGAAATAAAATCGTTAAAATGAGAGCAGGATGGGTGGAGCTAGTACCTGCTAAGATAAGACTGATTTGGCAAATAACACCCTCTAAAAAATAGAACGCGGGTGGGATGGACTATCATTTGTCAAGATAAGACTAAACAATATTTAGAATAGTCACTGGAATCAAGAACGGGTGGGTGGGTGGTGCTGATGCTTGTCTATATAAGACTCAATAAGCAAAAGATAAACTTAGTACCGCCCACCCACCCGTTTTTTTTCTTCTGAAATAAGAAATGCATTTTTATAGCAAATAGTGTTAAAATGAGAATAGAGCGGGCGGGGCTAATTCCTGCTAAGATAGGACAGACTTTGGCAAATAACATCCAATAAAAAATAGAGGGCGGGTGGGTGGGGCTATCATTTGCCAAGATAAGACTGAACAATATTTAGAGTAGTCACTGGAATGGAGAGGGGGTGGGTGGGTGGGGCTATTGCTTGCTTATAAATGACTCTGTTATAAAAAAATAAACTTAGCCCCGCCCACCCACCCGTTTTTTTTTCTTTTGAAATAAGAAATGCATTTTTATAGCAAATAGTGTTAAAATGTGAATAGGGCGGGCGGGGCTAATTCCTGCTAAGATAAGACTGACTTTGGCAAATATCATCCAATAAAAAATAGAGGGCGGGTGGGCGGGGCTATCATTTGCCAAGATAAGACTGAACAATATTTAGAGTAGTCACTGGAATGGAGAGGGGGTGGGTGGGCGGGGCTATTGCTTGCTTATAACAGACTGTTAGAAAAAAATAAACTTAGCCCCGCCCACCCAACCGTTTTTTTTCTTCTGAAATAAGATATGCATTTTTATAGCATATAGTGCAACAAACAAAATACGATTAGCTTTCTTTTTTTATTTTTAATAGCCCAGGTTCTATTAGTTTCTTGCCACTTTACAGAAGAACATATAATTAACTCCGCCCACTTACCCCGCCTTCACTTAATGATTCAATGTATCTGAATGAAAAGTGGATTTTATACAGATGAATAAAAATAAGATCGCTAAAGTGAGAATAGGACGGGTGGGCGGAGTTAGTACCTGCTAACCTAAGGCTGATTTTGGCAAATAACACCGTCTACAACATAGAACGCTGGTGGGTTGGACTATCACTTGTCAAGATAAGACTAAACAATATTTAGAATAATCACTGGAATGAAGAAGGGGTGGGTGGGCGGGGCTGATGCTTGTCTATAAAAGACTCTATAAGAAAAAAATAAACTTAGCCCCGCCCACCCACCCGTTTTTTTTTTCTTTTGAAATAAGAAATGCATTTTTATAGCAAATAGTGTTAAAATGTGAATAGGGCGGGCGGGGCTAATTCCTGCTAAGATAAGACTGACTTTGGCAAATATCATCCAATAAAAAATAGAGGGCGGGTGGGCGGGGCTATCATTTGCCAAGATAAGACTGAACAATATTTAGAGTAGTTATTGGAATGGAGAGGGGGTGGGTGGGTGGGGCCATTGCTTGCTTATAAAAGACCGTTAGAAAAATTAAATTTAGCCCCGCCCACCCACCCGTTTTTTCCTTCTGAAATAAGAAATGCATTTTTATAGCAAAATTTTGTAACAAAAAAATACGATTAGCTTTCTTTTTTTATTTTTAATAGCCCAGGTTCTATTAGTTTCTTGCCACTTGACAGAAGAACATATAATTAACTCCGCCCACTTACCCCAGCTTTATTTTAGTGATTCATTGCATCTGAATGAAAAGTGGATTTTATACAGATGAGCAAAAATAAAATCGCTAAAATGAGAATAGGACGGGTGGGCGGAGTTAGTGCCTGCTAAGATAAGGCTGATTTTGTCAAATAACACCGTCTACAACATAGAACGCGGGTGGGTTGGACTATCACTTGTCAAGATAAGACTAAACATTATTTAGAATAGTCACTGGAATGAAGAAGGGGTGGGTGGGCGGGGCTGATGCTTGCCTATAGAAGGCTCTATACGAATAAGATAAATTTAGCCCCGCCCACCCACCCGTTTTTTCTTCTTCTGAAATAAGAAATGCGTTTTTATAGCAAGTAGTGTTAAAATGAGAATAGGGGGGCGGGGCTAATTCCTGCTAAGATAAGACTGACTTTGGCACATAACATCCAATAAAAAAATAGAGGGCGGGTGGGTGGGGCTATCATTTGCCAAGATAAGACTGAACACTATTTAGAGTAGTTATTGGAATGGAGAGGGGGTGGGTGGGTGGAGCCATTGCTTGCTTATAAAAGACTGTTAGAAAAATTAAATTTAGCCCCGCCCACCCACCCGTTTTTCCTTCTGAAATAAGAAATGCGTTTTTATAGCAAATAGTGTAACAAACAAAATACGATTAGTTTTCTTTTTTCTCTTTTTAATAGCCCAAGTTCTATTAGTTTCTTGTCACTTTACAGAAGAACATATAGTTAACTCCGCCCACTTACCACGCCTTCATTTTAGTAATTCATTGTATGTGGTCTGAATGAATATATTAATTATAATATTAGAGTATATTATACTACTGGAAGAAATAAAATCGTTAAAATGAGAATAGGATGGGTGGAGCTAATACTTGCTAAGATAAGACTGATTTGGCAAATAACATCCTCTAAAAAAATAGAAGGCGGATGGGCTGGACTATCACTTGCCTATAAAAGACTCTATAAGGAAAAGATAAACTTAGTCCCGCCCACCCACCCGTTCTTTTCTTCATATGAAATAAAATATGCATTTTTATAGCAAATCATACAACAAGAAAAAATTGGATTAGCGTTCTTTTTTCTCTTTTTAATAGCCCAGGTTCTATTAGTTTCTTGCCACTTTACAGAACATATAATTACCTCCGCTCACTTACTCCGCCTTCATTTTAGTGATTTATTGTATTTGAATGAAAAGTAGATTTTATACTGATGAACAGAAATAAAAATCGTTAAAATGAGAACAGAGCGGGTGGGTGGGGCTGGTACCTATTAAGATAAGACGATTTTGGCAAATAATATTTCTACAAAAAAAAGAGAGGGCGGGTGGGCGGGCCATCACTTGTAAAAATAAAACTGAACAGTATTTAGGGTAGTCACTGGAATGAAGGGGGGGTGGGTGGGCGGGCTTCTGCTTGCGTATAAAAGACTCAGTAAGAAAAAGTTGTACTTAGCCCCACCCACCCACCCGTTCTTTTTTTCTTTTGAAAAAAAATGCATTTTTCTAGCAAACAGTATAACAAAAAAAAATACGATTAGCTTTCTTTTTCTCTTTTCAACAGCCCCTTTCATTTTAGTGATTCATTGTATCTGAATGGAAGGTGGATTTTATACCGATGAACAGAAATAAAAATTAGAATTGGGCGGGTGGGCGGGGCTAGTACCTCCTAAAAGAAGGCTGATTTTGGCAGATATTATCCTCAAAAAAAATTAAAGGGCGGGTAGGCGGGGCTACCACTTGTCAAAATAAGACTGAACAATATTTAGGGTAGTCACCGGAATGAAAATGAGGTGGGTGGGCGGGGCTAATGCTTGCTTATAAAAGACTGTACATGAAAGCTAAACTCAACCCCGTCCACCTCTTTTCCACGGACTTATTTTTTTATTGTAAATGGGAATTAAATTTTATTTTTACAAACGGTGGAATCCGCGATTTAAAACAAAGTGGAAATCACGAATCTGCGCCTATTTTCGTGGTAATTCTTCAAACAATGGAGAAACATGTGTTTAACCGAAGAAAATTAAAGTTAGTCGAAACGATCTAAAACTGCGTCATTTATTTTGGTTTAGATTTATGCTTGTTGTGTTATTTTGTCGAAATATGAAATTTTGTTTATGTAAAACTTGCTGAAAAAAAATCCTGAAATTAATACATTTAATCTAAATCATTTTCCCGGCGCCTCCACCATTTTTGGTCGAATTTAAAATACATCGCATCGCTAGAAAAACAGAAGATATTTCTTTTTAATTTCCTCAGGATTAAGAAGGCGCGTTTATTTCCAGGATATATGTTCAAACAACGAAAAAAGATGTGCTTAATCGAAGAAAAATTAAAATCAATTGAAAAGATCTAACGATCCCCAAAAATTCCTGAAATTAATTCATGTAGTCTAAATCATTTTCCCGGCGCCTCCACCATTTTTGCGCGAAACTTAAAAGTGGTCGATTGCTAGAAAAAGAGCATATTTTCTCCAAATTCCCTCAGGAACACGCAAAAATGTATTATTTTGTCTAAATTGTCCAACATCCTTCTCTTTCCACGACAGTGTTATTACATTATCTTTAACATCGACAAGAACATTAATTTTACTTCAAAAGACCTCCACTAAATCTTCCATAAGCCGGATTTTAGAGGTACTCGAAACTCGCTTGTTACATGCATCGTAGAAAATTTATCGAACAATAAAGTATGCTGTTTTCCATAAACTCATAATCTGATTTATTGAAAATGCGATTTCCGTGAAAATCCCCATTCACTTCGCAGCCAAATCCAACTCACTATTTTTCCAATAAAACAAATACGCTCACGCGCAATTAACTTTCGCCGAAATCGAAAACGAACATTTGCGAATGAGAAATGCGTTACCTTGTGTCTAAATCTAAGCAATTTGCGACGAAAATATAAATCAGAGAGTTTGAAACCGCAATTGCGTAAAAAAAAATTCCGCTCACGCAAAAACCCCATTTAATTGCCGACGCAGGCCCACCGCGCATCCGATGCTTTCATTAGCTCGCCTTTGATGTCCCATTAAAACAATATCTCCAGGCATCGCAACAGAACCCCAAGATACAAAGGGACAATTACCGTCGGAGCGATGCGATAGCTGGCGCGGGGCGATTTTTTGTCCACTTACCCGAGCGTCTTCGTCGATATCAGCGGCGTCTTCAGGCTGAGGAAGCCGTTGAGCCTGGATTTTTTCTCTTGTCCTGCTTCGATGCGGCTGCTGTTTACGTCCGGAGAGTCCTCGTCGTCGTCGTCGTCGCGCTTGCGGCGGCGCTTGTGGAAGAAATAGCAGGCGGCGCCGATTCCCGCTATGAGGATGAGCGCGGCCAAGCTCGAGAAGACGGCCGTTAAGACGATGTCGCGTTTCTGCATCATCAACTGGAAGGAAAAGAAGTTCTGGTGAGATCAATTTAGAGACAATGTCGATGCATCTTGCAGCTATTATAGGTTTCACGAAATTTTTAGGTTTTACCTGCGATCAAAATACATATATTTCTGATTTAATATACGCCTTAACCCTTGTAAAATTTGCTAATTTCCGTCCAAAAATGAAAATGCCGCTTTGGTGGATTCATATATACAGGGTGTTTCTTTTATTTGATATAACCCCTGTAACTTTTTTATTCTTAAAGATAAATCTGTAATTCTTTGAGCAAATTTGTATCATTTTAAAGGATCTACGTGACGGCAACCTCACATTTTTATTATCACTTCCGATAGAACCGGAAATGACGTCAACTTTATTTTTTTATGGAATACTAGGCATATTGTTTCATAAATGGAAAGACTGATTTTTTTAAAAAATCCAAAGCAACCAATATTCTAAAATCAATACTTAAAAAGTTATTCAATAAAACAGACGAAAAATTAAACTTATTGATGACAATGCAGTAGCTTGAAAAATTGACACTCATGTGATTTATTCACATACGTAATATTTCAAAATGATAAAAATTTGCGAAAGGAAGTATTTTTATCTTTGAAAATAAAAAAGTTACAGGGGTTGTATCAAATAAAAAAACACGTGGTATATAGAGGAAGGTGTCATATGAGAGTCAAAATATATACTTTTCTACTCTTAGAACTTTTGAGATTTTATATCTTGAGGTATTTAAAGCCTTTAGACACTTTAGAATTTTAAAGACTTTTACATTTTGGAGATTTTAGAAACGTTCTAAAGTTTGAAAACTTTGGAGACTATAGAGACTTTGTAGACTTTAGAGACTTTAGAGACTTTAGAGACTTTACAGACTTTAGAAACTTTAGAGACTTTAGAGCCTTTAGAGGTTTTAGAGACTTTAGAGACCTTAGCGAATTTAGAGAAGTTAGAGGTTAAAGACTTTAAAGATTTTAAAGACTTTAGACCTAAAAATTACTTTAGACACTTCAGAGACTTCAAGATTCTAGAAGCTCTAGAAGACTTTAGAGACTCTAGAGGCTTTAGAAATTTTATGGATTTTAGAAACTTTAAAATCTTTAGAGACTTTAGGGACTAGAAATTTTAGAGGCCTCACAGGTTTTAGAGATCTTACAGACTTTAGAGACTTTGGAGACTTTAGAGACTTGGGAGACCTTAGAGACTTTAGAGAAGTTAGAAGTTAGAAACTTTAGAGATTTTATAGAGTTTAGAACTAGAAATTTACTTTAGTGACTTCAGAGACTTCACGATTCTAGACGCTCTAGAAGACTTTAGAGACTCTAGAGGCTTTAGAGACTTTATAGATTTTATGGACTTTAGAAACTTTAGAAACTTTAGAATCTTTAGAGACTTTAGAGACTAGAGATTTTAGAGACCTCAGAGACTTTAGAGATCTTATAGACTTTAGAAACCTTAGAGACTTTAGAGATTTTAGAGGGTTTAGAGACTTTGTAGACTTTAGAGACTTTAGCAACTTTAGAGACTTTAGTCTTTAGAGGTTTTAGAGACTTTAGAGACTTTAGAACCTTTAGAGGTTTTAGAGACCTTAGCAAATTTAGAGAAGTTAAAGACAAAGACTTTAGACTTAAAAAATTACTTTAGACGCTTCAGAGACTTCAATATTCTAGAAGCTCTAGAAGACTTTAGAGACTCTAGAGGCTTTAGAGATTTTATGGATTTTAGAAACTTTAAAATCTTTAGAGACTTTAGGGACTAGAGATTTTAGAGGCCTCAGAGGTTCTAGAGATCTTACAGACTTAAGAGACTTTGGAGACTTTAGAGACTTTGGAGACCTTAGAAACTTTAGAGAAGTTAGAAGTTAGAAACTTTAGAGATTTTAGAGACTCTAGAAGACTTTAGAGACTCTAGAGGCTTTAGATACTATATAGATTTTATGGACTTTAGAAACTTTAGAATCTTTAGAGACTTTAGAGACTAGAGATTTTAGAGACCTCAGAGACTTTAGAGATCTTACAGACTTTAGAGACCTCAGAGACTTTAGAGATTTTAGAGGGTTTAGAGACTTTGTGGACTTTAGAGACTTTAGAAACTTTAAAGACTTTAGAGTCTTTAGAGGTTTTAGAGACTTTAGAGACTTTAGAGACTTTGGAGACTTTAGAGCCTTTAGAGGTTTTAGAGACCTTAGCAAATTTAGAGAAGTTAGAGGTTAAAGACTGTAAAGATTTTAAAGACTTTAGACCTAAAAAATTACTTTAGACACTTCAGAGACTTCAATATTCTAGAAGCTCTAGAAGACTTTAGAGACTCTAGAGGACTTAGAGATTTTATGGACTTTAGAAACTTTAAAATCTTTAGCGACTTCAGGGACTAGAGATTTTAGAGGCCTTAGAGATTTTAGAGATCTTACAGAGTTTAGAGACCTTAGAGGCTTTAGAGATTTTAGAGGGTTTAGAAGAGACTTTGTAGACTTTAGAGACTTTAGAGACTTTAGAAACTTTAGAGTCTTTAGAGGCTTTAGAGGCTTTAGAGACTTGAGAGACTTTCGAGAACTTTAGAGACCTTAGCGAATTTAGAGAAGTTAGAGATTAGAGACTTTAAAGATTTTAGACCTAAAAATTTACTTTTGAAACTTCAAAGACTTCAAGATTCTAGACGCTCTAGAAAACTATAGAGACTCTAGAGGCTTTAGAGGCTAGACATTTTAGAGGCCTCAGAGACTTTTTAGAGATCTTACAGACTTTAGAGACTTTAGAGACCTTAGAAACCTTAGCGAATTTAGAGAAGTTAGAGGTTAAAGACTTTAAAGATTTTAAAGACTTTAGACCTAAAAATTACTTTAGACACTTCAGAGACTTCAAGATCCTAGAAGCTCTAGAAGACTTTAGAGACTCTAGAGCCTTTAGAGACTTAATAGATTTTATGAACTTTAGAATCTTTGGAGACTTTAGAGACTAGAGATTTTAGAGGCCTTAGAGGCTTTAAAGACTGTGGAGACATTAGAAATTTTAGAGACTTCAGAGACTAGACATTCTAGAGACTTGAGTGACCTTAGAGATTTTAGAAACCTCGGAGACTTTAGAGACTTTGCAGACTTAGAGGCTTCGGAGACTTTAGAGACTTTAAAGTCTTTACAGACTTTAGAGACTTTAGAGACATTAGAGACTTTGGAGACTTTAGAGGCCTTAGGGACTTTAGCGACTAGGTATATTAAGGACTTCAGGGACCTGAGAAACATTTAACGTTTTAGGGTTTTTAAAAATGTTGATATTCTAAAGATTTTATACACATTGAAGGCGCTACAGGCTTTACAGGCTTTAGAGCTTTAGAGGCTTTGAAAATTTTAACAATTTTAGGGTCTTTGAGAATTTTAGGGCTTTTAAGGGCTTTATAAGCGACTCAAATACTCTTGGAAATGTAAAATTTTGGAACCTTAGTAATTTTTAAGATTCTGGACTATTAGTTTCGGAAACTTTAGATGCTTTAGGAAATGTATTAAAGACTTTACAGACTTCAGAGTTTTCAAAACTGTAGAGGCTCTAGAGACGTTAGGGATTTTATAGATTTAAGAAACTTCAGAAGCTGCTAGACTCTAGAGACTTTAGAGATTCTAGAGACTTCAGCGACTTTAGAGACTTTACAAACTTGAGAAACTTTGGAGGTTTTAGGGACTTAACAGATTTTAGAGATTTTAGAGACTTAAAGACTTTAGATACTTTAGATACTTTAGAAACGTTAAAAACTTTAGAAACTTACTTTAGGGATTCTAGACACTTTGGAGAATTTAGAGACTTTAAAGATTTTAAAGACTCTAGCGTGTATAGAAACTGGGGAAACTTTGGAGACTTGAGACTTTAGAGATTTTAGAGACTTAAAGACTTTAGAAACGTTAGAGACTTTAGAGACTTGCTTTGCAGATTTTAGACACTTTAGAGACTTTAAAGACATTAGAGACTTTATAGATTTTAGAGACTTCAGAGGCTTCAAGACTCCAGAAACTCTAGAGACTTTCGAGACTCTAAAGACTTTTGAGACTCTAGCGACTTTAAAGACTATACATTTTAGAGGCCTTGTGGATTTTAAAGACTTTACAAACTTCAGAAACTTGAGAGAATTTAGAGACTTTAGAGACTTTGGAGACTTTCGAGACATTAGAGACTTTATAGATTTTAGAGAGTTCAGAGACTTCAAGACACTAGAGGCTCTAGAAACTTTAGAGACTCTAGAGACTTTATAGATTTTAGAGACTTTAGAGATTTTATAGACTTTATAGACTTAGGACTAATTTCATAACCAAAACTTAAAGGACCTTTAACTAATGGGAGCTTTAAACCATTGTCTCAAATGTATTTTCATGGTAAAAATCCAACTTTAATTTTAAAGCTCCTTTAACTTGATTACGAAATCGGCCTTTAGAGATCTACTTTAGAGATTTAGAGACTTTAGAAAAAGTTTTTCGGCACATTAACAAATTCAGGGACTTGAGACACGTTTAACGTTTTAGGGTTTTTAAAAATTTGAGTATTTTAAAGACTTTATAGACATTGAAGGTGCTACAGGCTTTAGGAGCTCTAGACGCTTTGAAAATTTTAACAACTTTAAGGTCTTTGGGAATTTTAGGGCTTTTACGACTTTATAAGAGACTTCAAATACCCTTGAAAAAATAGGAACTTTAGAACTTTAGTAATTTTTAAGATTCTAGACTCTTAAGTTTTGGAAATTTTAGACACTTTAAGAAAGGCATTAAACTTTAAAGATTTTAGAGACTCCGGAAGACAGTTTCGGAACTTTAGAAAATTAAGAAATTTTATAAATTTCAGAGCATTTAGTTGATTTTTAGGCATTTTAGAGACTTGAGGTCAGGATCTTTAAACATTTTTGGAGCTTTTGAGATTTCAAAAGAAGTTTGAGATTGTAGAAATTTTAAAAGTTTGGAAATTTTTAAAACTTTCAACACGTTAAAACAGATTTTCGAGGTGACTTTTGGAAAATTTTACCAATTTTAAAAACCTTAGAGGTCCTAGATGAATTTCAGGGACCTTAGAAACCTTGAAGGTTTTAGAGTTTTTAGGCGACCCAGAAACTTTTAGAGATCTTAGCGTAATTTAGAAGATATTTTAGGACCTTCAACAACTTTAGGAACTGTCGACATTTTAGAAGAGGTTTTAAATACTCTTGAGATTTTGGAATCCTTACAGACTTTAGAGATCTCAGGATAAATTTTAGAGGATCTAGAGAAGAAACTTTGAAATGTGGGGAATTTGGGGACTTAGAAAAGACTGTATTAACTTTGTGAGTCAAAATGTACCCTAATTTCAAATTTAACAAGAAATAGCTCCAAAACGGCTCAAGCTTCAGCACTACAGTTTGAAGCATTAAACTCCTTGAAACTTTCTTATTTAACGAGCAAATTTTGAGACCGAATACTTGATTCCTTTAGTTTGGAGAGCCAGATATATGGAAAGGTGTCATTTGAAAGTAAAAATTTACCCCTTTTTCAGATTTGACGTGACGTAATTCCACAACAGCTCAAGACTACTCATTGCAGTTTGAAGCACTCTATGACTTCAAGTTTTTTTAATTCTATGAACAAATTTTCAGATGGCAAACTCGATCGGTTTAGTTTGGAAATACACCTTTTTTTTATAATTCAACGTGGCATAACGCTAAATCGGCACAAGGTTCCGCATTGTGGTTAGGGCGTATTTTCCAAGTTCTGTTACAACATTTGAATAAAAATATGTTGTGACGACGAAGAATCTTCTCAGCCTATCTAAAATAAGTGTACCCTTGCACTCTAAACCGAAATCGAATTTCCTTTATACATATATCAGTGATGTCACAAAAGTGGATTAAGTTCAGCAAAATGACGTTCCTTTTTTGTTCAATCATAAATCGATCCCGAAATACTCTTCTCCCTAAAATTTATTGACTCTAGAAGTCTAGATGATATAACCGCGCCGAAGACTCACTCTCTTTGACTGTTTGATTTTCTTTTCATACAACCCTCCACGGATTCCCGTAAAAGCCGATAAAAGCCATTTGTATGTACGTTTCTTGCGAATCTTTTTTTGCCTGTCAAACATTAGTGTTAAATTGTTCTGACCGACATTAATACAAATTAATAACTCCACCGTCTTAATAAACAATCCCGAATCTCAGCCATTCACTAAAACAGTCCCCACATCTGCGTCATTTATTACCACACATTATACGTCTCCACATCATAAAATTTATCACTGTCGCACATACAAACTCCGAAAATAATTTCGTTAGAGCAATTTTAAGCTCGTTAAGCGTCATTTCGCTCTCGCCTTTACAATGTTTAATGATCCTGACTTGATTACCGCAAAATAACACCTGATGATTTCGACTTGTTGACACCTCACGAACGCGAAATTCCCCGCAAAAATTGGCCACTTCCGACCACAATGCGCGAAAATTACTAAAATAAACACGGATTTCGAGCAATACCTGTGATTAATTATCGCACATGAAACGGTGACACTTCCGATTTTTATATGTATGTATTTAATTAAATACGGACAATAGGTTTCCGTTTTTCCGGGTATAAATACGAAGGTGGTGCGGAGGCAAAGTGGCAACCATGAGGCAGATCGTGGTGTTAGCCGTAGCGCTATTTTTGATTTCGAGTTTAGTGAATGTAAATTTTGACTTTTACTTTAATAATAATAATGATTTAAATTTTAACTGGTGTGAATTTTAGGGGGCTAGTTATGGAGGGAATAAAGCGGGGATGATGCCAAAGCGGCCACCAGGACCGCCACCGGGACCGCCGCCGAACGGAGCGCCACCACCAGGAAACCCGCCGCCCCAACCCCCAACCGGCGACTCTTCCGGGGGCGGTACCACCGATACTACAACTGCTGCAACCACAGAAGCAGCGGCTACATCTTAAGTAAATAATAAACATGTTTCAAACTTACTAAATAAACACACGAACACAATTATTTTTAACTTAATTTTTTTTTAAAACGTCCAACTAACAATTTTCTCTCGCTTGAAAAAGAACGCAGTGTTATCAAGGTCGGTTCGCTCCATCACAGATAACGTAACCCACTTCCTCTAAAAAATCGCACCTATTTTCGCGAAACATCCACTCGAAGCAACACTACGAGCACTCAAGTGCTAATTTCGCTCCATTAACCGCTAGCTCCGACGAAATGAGGCGGATTTTTCTCACCGTGGCACTGCTACTAGTAACATCTCAGGTATCTAATTTAAATTTTAATTAAGTGCATCGAGTAATTAATAATTGCGTTACGGTGACGCAGGGCCGGATCCAGTCGAGAGGGAGAGGTTTGCGTCAAGCTGGGTTAGAAGAAGAGAAAAATGTGGTGGGGGGCGAGAAGCCGTGTAACGTGAGGTTGGGCACTATCTGTTTGGATGAAGAAGACAATGACTACGAGGAAGAGTATGAAGACGACTACAATGAAGACTATGGTGAGGAGTACAAAGAGGTCTCCGAAGAGGACTATAAAGATGACTACGGAGACAACTTTGAAGAAGGCTACGATGAGGAATACAAAGAGGACTCCGAAGATGAACATAAACGAAGTTAATTCTAGTTTTCATTCTGAATCAGATGATTCCCATGACAAAACAGAAAATGTGTTTAAATAAAGAGAATTTGTCTCTAATTTTTGCAAAACTTTTAGCAAAGGTGCTACTTTTCTGACGATTGTAATCCTGGAGTATTTTACATTCTACATATAACTAAATATTTTTCTTTTTATATACTTATAAATAATTTATAACGTAGAAATAATATGTGAGTAAAATGTAAGTGTCCATAATTTGGCAAATCCATACAATTTTTAAGAATAAAGTTACAAATAAAACATTGGTCGAAGGTTATTTCGGCAGAACTTCCCACGCTCCTGAAGTCCAATGAAACAAATCCAGTTTTATCGAAAAATTATAAATTTGATAATGCGAATTTTATTTATTTTTTTATAAGTGAAAATAAAGATCAATCAAGCAATGTAATATTCTTGGTAACAGTATTGAATTCCCAAAGTTAAATTACAAAATATTGTAACACAATTTTGATTTTTTTTCCAAAAAACTGGTTGTCTAGGGTGCAGGAGTACTTTATAAAATTTACTACTGTAATTTTCGTACTGTAGAGATCATGAAACACCGGCAAAACATGAAATTGGCAAGTCGCCGGATGGAATTGATTAGGTTACCTCGACAGAATTTTTTTCATCCCTTAAGTACTACTATATTCTTTAAATCGTCCTTTTTCCACCTCTTAGTAGCATTTTTGTAACTTTTTTCTGGATTTTTCCCACTTTTTTGTCGTTCTTTTCTCATTTTTTCCCGCCTTATTCTTGGCGCCTTTGTTTTTGTCGCTTTTTTGTCGCCCTTTTCTTCGTCAGTTTTTCTCCCCTTTTCCTCGTTTTTTTTTTACTTTCTCGATTTTTCCCTCATTATTTTCTCGTCAATCTTCCTCTTCTTGAATCGCCTCTTCTTTACGCATTTTTCACCCTTTTGTCGGTTTTTTCACATTTTTTTCCCGCCCTTTTTATTCACTTTTTCTTCTGTCGTCTTTTTTTTACACCATTTTTTCGTCTTTTTTGTGGCTTTCCTTTACATTTCTTTTGCTTTCTTTTCTGAACCGCCTATTTTTAACAACTTTTATTTCACGTTTTTGGCACTTTTTTTGTAGCTTTTTTTCGTCTTTATTTTTTTTGAGACTTTTATCCCGTTTCTTGTCGCCCTTTTAGACACTTGCCAGTTTTTGTGGTCTCTTTGTTTTTTTGTCCCCGGTTTTTATTTGTTTTTTTCCATCTCTTTTTTTTCTCACATTTTTTGTCTTTTTTTCTCTATTTTCCTCCCCTTTTTTACTCGCTTTTCTATTTTTTGATCGGACTTTTTTCACCTCTTAGTCGCTCTTTTCTGTGTTTTTTCTCGATTTTTTCCTTCCTTATTTTTCTCGCCTTTTCTTCAATCCTCTTTTTCTTTGTACCCATTTTGCAGCCTTTTTGTCGGTTTTTTCTCTTTTTTTTTTTTCGACATTTTTACTCATTTTTCTTTTTCCATCGTCTTTTTTATATCTTTTTCCTCCTTTATTGTCGTTTATCTTTACCGTTTTTAGCTCGCTTTTTTGAATCGCTTGTTTTTGACGCCTTTCATTCCACGTTTTTGGCAATTTTTTTATCGCTCCTTTTTATCGTAGCCTTTTTTTGATCATCTTTTTTGACACCTTCTTTCCGCCTTTTCTGTTGCCACTTTCTCGTCCCCTGTTTTAGGACTTTTCGCTTTTTTTGTTGCCTTTTACTATTTTTGTATTTTATTGTTTCGCCTTTTCTGTCGCTGATTTTTTATTTGCTTTTTTTCCATCTCACAGTGGCTTTTTCTCCCCTTTTTTCTTTCCTTTGTCTGTTCTTTCTTCCTCGTCTTCCTTTTCTTGATTCGCCTTTTTTTGGTACCCACTGTCCGGTTTTTATCGTTTTTTCTCAATTTTTCCTCGCCATTTTTTTACACACTTTTTTAAACGTCACTTTTTGGCAACTATTTCTTCTTGGCCTTTTTTTGCTTCCTTTTTTGACAACTGTTATTCCACCTATTTTTTGCCGCTCTTTTTTTTCGTAGGTTTTTTGTCCATTTTTTTCTCGCCTTATTTACTCATTTTTCTTTTTTTTAATCATCCTTTTTCCACCTCTTAGTCGCTCTCCTTCTCTACCTTGGGAGTCCTGAGTGTCTTTTGCTTAGTTGCACAAGAATCTCAGGAGTCCTGAGTATCTTTTGCTTAGCTGCATAAGATTCTCGGGAACGCTGAGTGTCTTTTGCTTAGTTGCTTAAGAATCTCGGGAGCCCTGAGTGTCTTTCACTTATTTGCATAAGAATCTCGGTAGTCCTAGGTGTTTTTTGCTTAGTTGCACAAGAATCTCAGAAGCCCTGAGCGTCTTCTGTTTAGTTGCACAAGAATCTCGGGAGCTCTGTGTGTCTTTGGCTTAGTTGCATAAGAATCCTTGGAGCCCTGAGTGTATTTTGCTTAGTTGCCTAAAATTTTATGGGAGTCCTGACTGTCTTTTGCTTAGTTGTTTAAGAATCTCCCGAGCCCTGAGTGTGTTTTGCTTAGTTGCATAGGATTCTCGAGAGTCCTAATTGTCTCTTGGTTAGTTCCATTAGAATCTCCGGAGTTTTGAGTGTCTTTTGTTTAGTTGCATAAGATTCTCAGGAGTCCTGAATGTTTTTTGTTTAGTTGCTTAAGAATCTCGGAAGCCCTGAGTGTCTTTTACTTATTTGCATAAGAATCTCGTGAGTTCTGAATATTTTTTGCTTAGTTGCAGAAGAATCTCAGGAGCCCTGAGCGTTTTTTGTTTAGTTGAACAAGAATCTCGGGAGCCCTGAGTATCTTTTGATTAGTTGTATAAGGTACCCGGGAATCCTGAGTGTCCTTTGCTTAGTTGCATAAGATTCTCGGGAGTCCTGAGTGTCGTTTGCTGAGTGTTTTTTCCTTAGTTGCATAAGAATCTCGGGAGCCCTGAGTGTATTTTGCTTAGTTTGCACAAGACTGTCCTGAACCATGAGTGTCTTTTGCTTAGATGCACAAGAATTTCGGGAACTTTGAATGTCTTTTGCTTAGTTGGATAAGAATCTCTAAAATCCTGAGTGTTCTTTGCTTAGTTGCATAGGATTCTCGGGAGTCCTAATTGTCCTTTGGTTAGTTCCATTAGAATCTCCGGAGTTTTAAGTGTCTTTTGCTTAGTTGCATAAGATTCTCAGGAGTCCTTAATGTTTTTTGCTTAGTTGCTTAAGAATCTCGGAAGCCCTAAGTGTCTTTTACTTATTTGCATAAGAATCTCGTGAGCTCTGAATATTTTTTGCTTAGTTGCAGAAGAATCTCAGGAGCCCTGAGCGTCTTTTGTTTAGTTGCACAAGAATCTCGATAGCCCTGAGTGTTTTTGGCTTAGTTGCATAAGATTCTCTAGAGTCATGAGCGTCTTTAGCTTAGTTGCTTACGAATCTCGTGAGTCCTGTGTATTTTTTGCTTAGTTGCACAAGAATCTCAGTAGCCCTGAGCGTCTTTTGTTTAGTTGCACAAGAATCTCGGGAGCCCTTTGTGTCTTTGGCTTAATTGCATAAGAATCTTGGGAGCCCTGAAAGTTTTTTGCTTAGTTGCAAAAGATTCTCGGAAGTCCTGAGTGTTTGTTGCTTAGTTGCAAAAGAATCTCTGGAGCCCTGAATGTCTTTTGTATAGTTGCATAAGAATCTCGAGAGCCTGAGCGTCTTTTGCTTAGTTGTTAAAGAATCTCGGGAGCACTGACTGTCTTTTCCTCTCTTGCATTAGAATGTCCGAAGCCTTGACTGTTTTTGCTTAGTTGCATAAGAATCTCCCGAGCCCTGAGTGTCTTTTGCTTAGTGGCATAAGATTCTCGGGAATCCTGAGTGTCTTTTGCTTAGTTGCATAAGAATCTCCGAGCCCTGACTGTCTTTTGCTTAGTTGCATTAGAATCTCCGGAGCCTTGAGTGTTTTTGCTTAGTTGCATAAGATTCTTGGGAGCCCTGAGTATTTTTTGATTAGTTGTATAAGATTCTCGGGAGTCCTGAGTGTCGTTTGCTGAGTGTTTTTTCCTTAGTTGCATAAGAATCTCGGGAGCCCTGACTGTATTTTGCTTAGTTTGCACAAGACTGTCCTGAACCATGAGTGTCTTTTGCTTAGATGCACAAGAATCTCGGGAACTCTGAATGTCTTTTGCTTAGTTGGATAAGAATCTCTAGAATCCTGAGTGTTCTTTGCTTAGTTGCATAGGATTCTCGGGAGTCCTAATTGTCCTTTGGTTAGTTCCATTAGAATCTCCGGAGTTTTGAGTGTCTTTTGCTTAGTTGCATACGATTCTCAGGAGTCCTGAGTGTTTTTTGCTTATTTGCATAAGAATCTCGTGAGCTCTGAATATTTTTTGCTTAGTTGCAGAAGAATCTCAGGAGCCCTGAGCGTCTTTTGTTTAGTTACACAAGAATCTCGAGAGCCCAGAGTGTTTTTGGCTTAGTTGCATAAGATTCTCGAGAGTCCTGAGCGTCTTTTGCTTAGTTGCTTACGAATCTCCTGAGTCCTGCATATTTTTTGCTTAGTTGCACAAGAATCTCAGTAGCCCTGAGCGTCTTTTGTTTAGTTGCACAAGAATCTCGGGAGCCCTGTGTGTCTTTGCCTTAGTTGCATAAGAATCTTGGGAGCCCTGAGTGTTTTTTGCTTAGTTGCAAAAGATTCTCGGAAGTCCTGAGTGTTTGTTGCTTAGTTGCAGAAGAATCTCTGGAGCCCTGAGTGTTTTTTGCTTAGTTGCATAAGATTCTAGGGAGCCCTGAATGTCTTTTGCATAGTTGCATAAGAATCTCGAGAGCCCTGAGCGTCTTTTGCTTAGTTGTTTAAGAATTTCGGGAGCTCTGACTGTCTTTTGCTTAGTTGCATTGGAATCTCCGGAGCCTTGAGTGTCTTTTGCTTAGTTGCATAAGATTCTCGGAAGCCCCGAGTGTCTTTTGCTCAGTTGCATAAGATTCCCGAAAATCCTGAGTGTCCTTTGCTTTGTTGCATAAGATTCTCGGGAGTCCTGAATGTCGTTTGCTGAGTGTTTTTTCCTTAGTTGCATAACAATCTCGGGAACCCTGAGTGTATTTTGCTTAGCTGCACAAGACTATCCTGAACCATGAGTGTCTTTTGCTTAGATGCACAAGAATTTCGGGAACTTTGAATGTCTTTTGCTTAGTTGGATAAGATTCTCTAGAATCCTGAGTGTTCTTTGCTTAGTTGCATAGGATTCTCGGGAGTCCTAATTGTCTTTTGGTTAGTTCCATTAGAATCTCCGGAGTTTTGAGTGTCTTTTGTTTAGTTGCATAAGATTCTCAGGAGTCCTTAATGTTTTTTGCTTAGTTGCTTAAGAATCTCGGAAGTCCTAAGTGTCTTTTACTTATTTGCATAAGAATCTCGTGAGCTCTGAATATTTTTTGCTTAGTTGCACAAGAATCTCAGGAGCCCTGAGCGTCTTTTGTTTAATTGCACAAGAATCTCGATAGCCCTGAGTGTTTTTGGCTTAGTTGCATAAGATTCTCGAGAGTCATGAGCGTCTTTTGCTTAGTTGCTTACGAATCTCGTGAGTCCTGCGTATTTTTTGCTTAGTTGCACAAGAATCTCAGTAGCCCTGAGCGTCTTTTGTTTAGCTGCACAAGAATCTCGGGAGCCCTGTGTGTTTTTGGTTTAGTTGCATAAGAATCTTGGGAGCCCAGAGTGTTTTTTGCTTAGTTGCAAAAGATTCTCGGAAGTCCTGAGTGTTTGTTGCTTAGTTGCAGAAGAATCTCTGGAGCCATGAGTGTTTTTTGCTTAGTTGCATAAGAATCTAGGGAGCCCTGAATGTCTTTTGCATAGTTGCATAAGAATCTCGAGAGCCCTGAGCGTCTTTTGCTTTGTTGTTTAAGAATTTCGGGAGCTCTGACTGTCTTTTGCTTAGTTGCATTGGAATCTCCGGAGCCTTGAGTGTCTTTTGCTTAGTTGCATAAGATTCTCGGGAGCCCTGAGTGTCTTTTGATTAGTTGTATAAGATTCCCGGGAATCCTGAGTGTCCTTTGCTTAGTTGCATAAGATTCTCGGGAGTCCTGAGTGTCGTTTGCTGAGTGTTTTTTCCTTAGTTGCATAAGAATCTCGAGACCCTGAGTGTATTTTGCTTAGTTTGCACAAGACTGTCCTGAACCATGAATGTCTTTTGCTTAGATGCACAAGAATCTCGGGAACTTTGAATGTCTTTTGCTTAGTTGGATAAGAATCTCTAGAATCCTGAGTGTTTTTTGCTTAGTTGCATAGGATTCTCGGGAGTCCTAATTGTCCTTTGGTTAGTTCCATTAGAATCTCCGGAGTTTTGAGTGTCTTTTGCTTAGTTGCATAAGAATCTCGGAAGCCCTGAGTGTCTTTTACTTATTTGCATAAGAATCTCGTGAGCTCTGAATATTTTTTGCTTAGTTGCACAAGAATCTCAGGAGCCCTGAGCGTCTTTGTTTAGTTGCACAAGAATCTCGATAGCCCTGAGTGTTTTTGGCTTAGTTGCATAAAATTCTCGAGAGTCATGAGCGTCTTTTGCTTAGTTGCTTACGAATCTCGTGAGTCTTGCGTATTTTTTGCTTAGTTGCACAAGAATCTCAGTAGCCCTGAGCGTCTTTTGTTTAGTTGCACAAGAATCTCGGGAGCCCTGTGTGTCTTTGGCTTAGTTGCATAAGAATCTTGGAAGCCCTGAGTGTTTTTTGCTTAGTTTCAAAAGATTCTCGGAAGTCCTGATTGTCTTTTGCTTAGTTGCATTAGAATCTCTCGAACCCTGACTGTCTTTTGCTTAGTCGCATTAGAATCTCCGGAGCCTTGAGTGTCTTTTGGTTAGTTGGATAAGATTCTCTAGAATCCTGAGTGTTCTTTGCTTAGTTGCATAGGATTCTCAGGAGTCCTGTGTGTTTTTTGCTTAGTTGCTTGAGAATCTCGGAAGCCCTGAGTGTCTTTTATTTATTTGCATAAGAATCTCGTGAGCTTTGAATATTTTTTGCTTAGTTGCAGAAGAATCTCAGGAGACCTGAGCGTCTTTTGTTTAGTTGCACAAGAATCTCGAGAGCCATGAGTGTTTTTGGCTTAGTTGCATAAGATTCTCGAGAGTCCTGAGCGTCTTTTGCTTAGTTGCTTACGAATCTCCGAAACCCTGAGTGTCTTTCACTTAGTTGCATAAGAATCTTGGGAGCCCTGAGTGTATTTTGCTTAGTTGCACAAGAATCTAGGGAACCCTGAGTGTCTTTTATTGAGTTGCATAAGGGTAATTTCAAAGATTCTCGGGGGCTTTTGGTCTTTTCGTTCAAGAATGGTAAAGAATTTCCGACGTTCTAGAGGCTTTTTTTAAGAATTTCATCACTGAAAAACTGTTTGGAAGAAGGCGTTTTTCTCATCTTCCTGTTCTTGAATCGCCTTTTTTGTACCCATTGTCCTCCCATTTAGTCGATTTTTTCTCGATTTTTTTCTACCGTTTTGACTCACTTCATTTAATCGTCTTTTTTGCAAAGTTTTTCGCTTTTTTTGTTGCTTTTCTTTACTTTTCTTCGGTTTCCTTTTTTGAATCACTTGTTTGTGACACCGTTTATTCCACCTTTTTTTTCCTCGGTTTTTTCTCGTTCTTTTTTCGCTCCTTTTTCATTGCCATTTGTTTCGATTTTTTTTTAATCATTTTTTTGACACCTTTTTTTCCCCGTTATTTTTGTCGCCTTTTTTTGTTGCTTTTTTTCTCCACCCTTTTTGACACTCGTCGCTTCTTTTATCACTTTTTTTGTTTTTCTTCTTGCCCTTTATTTCGCCGTTTTTGTTTGTCTGTTTGTCTGCCGTCTGTCCCAATTTTTTTTAGAAACTACTAGACCGATCGTTATCAAATTTTGTATGTATGTTAGAAATATCAAGTAGATATTTCCTACCACCAATGTAATGACAACCCCTCAAAATTTTTCATAGCAAGTAGAATTTAAATTTTATTAAATAACATACTCCTGTACTTGTTGTTTATGAAATCGCCTTTAGATTTTCCCCCAAACATCCAAATTTCCACAAAAAAAATCGAAATTTTACAGCAACCTGTTTCTACTAGTATATATATATATTTTTGGAGCAATCCGTTTCCTCTAATGGTCACTCCAGACAAAATATAAACAAGTGTGTTTTCGTAACATTTGGACATCCGCTTATACTACGAGTAGTTTAAAAGGTGATAATAAAATCTAGATTTGGAAAAAAATATAGAATCTAAACCATCTAAAACCTCTGGGTGATGCATAAATAATGACCCACTTAAAACCCCATCAACTCCCGAACCAACAAATTACCACCACGTCCATTCTTGGTCCCAACACCATGAAAATAAAACTGATTTACTTTTTCCTCTTCCTCATCATCCTCGACTTTGTAAGTGACAAAAAATCTACAAAATCCAGGCGTAAGTTTCCTTTGTAGATCTTCGAGTGCGACGCCGTCAAAAAAAAGAAGAAGGCGAAAAAGTCTGCAAAGAAAGTGAAGAAGAGCAAGAAAACAAAAGCGAAGAAGCCGGCCAAAGCGAAAGCCAAAGCCAAACCGAAACCAAAGGCAAAATCGAAGAGTAAGAAAGCAAAACCTAAGAAAAAAACCTATCAAACAATGCCTGCGCCAATGCTGGCAAGTCTTCTGCCACCCGAGATGTTTTATTCTCCAATGCCACCGATGCCATTTCCTGATAATGAGACTTTTGATGATTCTATGTTCCTAGAGGATTATCTCAATGGAAATAAAACTTTTTGAGTGAAAATAACTGTCATTTTGATAATACGTTGTCAAAAATATCAATAAAGCGTCAAAATCATGAACTTCATTTTGATACTATTAACTCTTGCTTTATTTTCAGTACGAAAAGGGTAAGTTTTGCCTGAAAAATTAAACTAACACATACGATTTATTAGAAACCTGGAGTCCAAGCACTGAAAGTGGTGGTGGTAAAAAACACCACCTACAGAAAGGATGATTCGTCCTTAGGGTTAGGGGTTTTCGCTGACTTCCACCACCAGCACACCCATCGTGGTCACATCACCAGACACAGAGACGTAAAATTAAAGGAATCAGAGACAACGAACTAAAAAAATAAAAACTGCGCCACTTTTGTTATCCTGCTTTTTATCCTGTTTTCTTAAGCTCCATATCGATCCTTGCATAGCTCCCTTGAGTTGCTCATTTCATTAAATTAATATCAATTTGTGATATTGCAAATGGAGCGAGAGCGAGCTTTAGGTGTATGTTACAATAATCCTTTGTGCCCTTAATTGAGCGATAAATTAAATTGAGATGCTCTAAATTTCCCTCGTGATTGCTAATCTTTGGAGGAGTTAATTGAGAGTTTCTGGAGAGGTTCTCCAATAAACGACATGAAAAGATGTTTATGCTTGAAGTTAATTTAGCAATTAATGCTACAGGAAGTTAAATTTGTGTTTTGTTGGTTGTACGTGGATTTTGATTGACGCTGAGCTAAAAACGTCCATTAAAAAATGATAATGAATGCAGTAAACAACAAAAAGCACTGCAGTTTTGCGTCATTTTAATTGAATTTTAATAGAAAATTTGCATATAAATGACGGGTGTTTAATTGAAAAATCACTCGGAGTTGGCGTTGGAATTTCAGTTGACACAAGCCGCGTGTCTACTTTTATGACAGCCTTTTGGCAGAAACATAACCTTACATTTTAAAACAAAGTCAGAGATTGAAAACTTCCAAAACTGAAATATTAAAAAATTGAGAAATCGAAACAAAAGAATCGAAAAATAAAAAAAAAATAATTTTTAAAATCGAAAAACTGGAAAATTGAAACGTCAAAAAACCGATAAATCGAGAACTCCAAATTATAAAAAAAAAGAAATTAAAAGTGCAAAATTCCAAAACTGAAATAATTGAAACATCCAAAAATCAAAAATTTTAAGAATCGGAAAATTGGAAAACTGAAAAATCTAGAATCGAGACAGCATCAAAAACTGGAAAATTCGAAAAACTGAAAAATTGAAGAATCCAAAAACTGAAACATGTGGGAAATTGACACATTCAAAAGGTCGAGAAATGGAAAAGCCGAAAAACCGAAAAATTTCAAAATCGAAAAATCGATAAATCAAAAATTCTAAAAATCGAAATATTGAATAATTGAAAGATTGAAGAATCCAAAAATTCAAAATTTCCAAAACTGTAACACCGAAAAATTGAAAAATCGAGCGATAGAAAGGTCGAAAAATCAAAGTTGCAAAAGCGAAAATTTGAAAAATTCCAAAAGAGAAATGTGTAAAAATTAGAAAATCGAAAAATCGAAAAACCGAGAAATCGAATCAAAATATTCAAAAACTGAAACATTGAGACATCGAATCATCAAAAGATCAAGAAATTAAAAAGTGGAGATGTCAAAAAATCAAAAAACTGAGAAATCCAAATAGGCCAAAATCGAAAAATCGAAAAGTTAAAAAAAATCGAAAAATCGAAACATCAGAAACTTTAAAAGTCTAAAATTTAAACATTCGAAAAATTGACAAAAATCAAAAACCCGAAAAATCGAAAAGTCCAAAAACTGAAACATCGAAAAATGAAAAAATTGAGGAATCATTGAAAAATCCAAAAATTGAAGAATTCCAAAATTAAAACATCGAAAAATTGAGAAATCGGAAATCTGAAAAATCGAGAAATGGAAAAATCGAAAATGCAAAAATCGAAAAATTGGTAAATAGAAACATCGAAAAATTGAAAAATTAAAAAATCGAAAAACTGAAAAGTCGAAAAATCGAGAAATCAAAAAATCCAAAAATTGAAAAATTCCAAATAAAAATTGAAAGACGAAATATTTTAAAATCGAAAAATTGCAAAATTCCGAAACTGTGATACCGAAAAATCCAAAAATTCCAAAAAAGAAATGAGTAAAAATTAGAAAATCGAAAAATCGAAAAACCGAGAAATCGAAATATCAAAATATTCAAAAACTGAAACATTGAGACATCGAATCATCAAAAGATCGAGAAATTAAAAAGTCGAGAAATCAAAAAATCAAAAAACTGAGAAATCCAAATAGGCCAAAATCGAAAAATCGAATCTAAAATTTAAACATTCGGAAAATTGATAAAAATCGAAAAATCCAAAATTTTAAAAACTGAAAAATTAAAATTTCAAAAAAACGGAAAAATAGAAAAAGTCAAAGAATCGAAAAAATGAAAAATTCCAAAACTGAAACATCGAAAAATGAAAAAATTGAAGAATCATTGAAAAATCCAAAAATAGAAGAATTCTAAAACTAAAACATCGAAAAATTGAGAAATCGAAAATCTGAAAAATCGAGAAATGGAAAAATCGAAGTTGCAAAAATCGAAAAATTGGTAAATAGAAAAATCCAAAAATTTAAAAATTAAAAAATCGAAAAACTGAAAAATCGAAAAATTGAGAAATCCAAAAATCCAACATTTTAAAAACTGAAAAATTAAAATATCGAAGAATTTAAAAATCCCGAAATTGAAACATTGAAAAATTAAAAAATTGAGGGAGAATTGATAAATCCAAGAATTGAAAAATTCTAAATAAAAGTTGAAAGACGAAATATTTTAAAATCGAAAATTTGCAAAATTCCGAAACTGAAACATCGGAAAATTGAAAAATTGACTAATCTAAAAATTGAAAAATTCCAAAACTGTAATACCGAAAAATTGCAAAATCGAGAAACAGAAATATCGAAATATAAATGTCGAAAAAACGAAAATTTGAAAAATCGAAAAACTGAAAAATTCCAAAAATAAAATGACGAGATATTAGAAAATCGAAAAGTCGAAAAATCGAAAAACCGGGAAATCAAAGAACGTCGAAATATTCAAAAACTGAAACATCCAGAAATCGAAACATCAAAAAATCGAAAAACAGAAATCGAAATAAGCCAAAATTGAAAAATCTAAAGTTAATGAAAAATCGAAAAATTCAGACATCAGAAAATTTAAAAATCTAAAATTCAAACATTCGAAAAATTGAAAAATCGAAGATTTCACAAATCAAAAAATCGAGAATCGAAAAATCCAAAGTTTTAAAAACTGAAAAACTAAAATATCGAAAAAAATGTAGGAATCGAAAAAATAAAAAATCCCAAACTGATACATTAAAAAATAAAAAAAATGAGGGAAAATTGAAAAATCCAAAAATTGAAAAATTCCAAAACTAAAACAGCGTAGTCGAAAAAATCGAAAAATAGGAAAATAGAAAAATCAAAAAATTGAAAAATCATAAAATCGCTAAGTCGAGAAATCGAAAAGTCAAAAATCGAAATATTGCAAAATTTCAAAACTACCAAAAATGAAACATCAAAAAATTGAAAAATTTAAGAATTGAAGAATCCAAAAATCCAAAAACCGAAGAACTGAAAGATCGAGAAATATGTAAAATACTCGAAAAAACAAAAATTTGAAAAATCGAAAAACTGAAAACTTCCAAATAAAAGTAAAAAGACGAAAAATTTTGAAATCGAAACATCGATAAATTGGAAATTCGAAAGGTCGAAAAATCGAAATCGAAAAAATCGAAAAATTGAAAAATTCCAAAAATGAAATGATGAAAAATTGATAAAGCGAAACACCGAAAGATTGAAAAATCGAGAAATCAAAAATTCAAAATATCGAAATATAGCACAATCCCAAATCTGAAACATCGAAAAATTGAAGAAAAATAGTTGAATCCAAAATTTGAAAAATCCCAAAACTAAAACACCAAAGAACTGTTCATGTTCATAGTCTGACTTATGCAAAAACTATATGTTACAAGCATCAATAAAAATATTCTATATTCTAAAAATATTCTATATTCTGAAAGACCGAGAAACAGAAAAGTCGAAAAAATTCAAATTTGAAAAATCGAAAAAATAAAGAATTCCACAAATGAAATGACTGAAAATTCAACTAGAAACATCAAAAAATTAGAAATTCGAAAAATTAAAAAATCGAGAAACCGGAAAATCGAAATATTGCAAAATCCCAAAATTGTAATATCGAAAAATTGAAAAATCGATGGAAAATTTAAGAATCAAAAGTTTGAAAACATTAGAAAATTGAAGAATTGATGAAAAATTCCAAAACGGAAACATGAAAAATTGAAGAATCCAAACTCTGAAAAATTGAAAAAAGGAAAAATATAAAAGTCAGAAAAACGAAGTCGAAAAAAACTAAAATTTAAAAAATCGAAAAATTGAAAAATTCCAAAAGTGAAATGACGAAAAATGAGAAAATCGAAAAGTCGAATCATCGGAATATTCAAAAACTGAAACACCGAGAAATCGAAACATCAAAAGATCGAGAAATATTAGTCGAGGGACCGAAAAATCGAAAAATTGAGAAATCGAAACTGACCAAAATCGAAAAATCTAAAAGTTAACAATTGAAAAATTTAAAACCAATTTTTTTTAGGGTTTTTTAATCGATGAATCCAAGAATTGAAAAATCGAAAAATCCAAAATTTTAAAAAATGAAAAATTAAAATATCGAAAAATTTAAAAATCGAAAAATTGCATAAATAAAATATCCAAAAATTGAGAAATTGAAGAAAAATCCAAGAATCGAAAAATTGAGAAATCGAAAACTCTAAATGTCGAGAAATCGAAATCTAAGTCAAGAAAATCGAAAAATTAAAAAAATTCAAAAGTGAAATGCCGAAAAATTGGTGAATCGAAAATACCTGAAAGCTATTCGTTTTTTTATTTGTTACATTGCTTACACAGTTTTTTGCGACGAAGTCAACAAATTTCACGAAAATTTTAAAACTGAATCAATTTCCAAAAAATGTCAAAAACACCAACTTCATTTTGATATTATTAACCCTTGCTTTATTTTTTAGTACGATTAATCTAACACACTGGAGAGCTTAAAAAGCTAATAAACGACATAAAAGAAATGTTCTTGCTTGGTATTAATTTAGGAAGTAAAGGAAAGCTATAAACAATCACTAACAATTTTTGCTTTTTTGATTATTCTGTTCGACAATTTTATTGTAAGTGCATTTTGATTGACGCTATGCAAAAAATACAAAATGCAATTGCAGAGCGCTTAATTTTCCATTAAAAAATAATCGATGCAACGAACAACAAAGAACTACGTAATTGCATTTTAATACAAAA